TTGATGGTACCGTACTCTTGATGGTACGGGACAGGTACAGGATAGCGCCAGGCTAGGCATATCGATGTCGATGGCACAAACAAACAAAATATTGTGGCCAGCTGTCTTTGCTGGTACGGTACAGTACGGGACAGATACCGGATAGCGCCAGGCGTGACACAAACAAACAAACAAACAAACAAACACCAAATTAAAGCTGTGTGGACCCTGGCTAGCGCCAGACGTTACTGAAGTAACGTCTTCTGCATAGCTACGGGAATAAAACCCTGCTTTTCACTGAACACACTAACTGCATGACCTCCAAACCCTTTACCCGAACACAGATCACTAGCGCTGATCAGGTGCATTGTACACAATTCTGTAGACTACATACTAGAACTGTGGTCCAATCATGTAGTTATGCTCCTAACTCCGAAAGGATGCCAAATTATGCTCCAAATTTTTCAACCACCCAATTATGCCAATAATTATGCCGGCATAATCCGCCGGCGCCTACTAAGCAGGGGTGTTGCACAATGTGGTGCTGCTCTTGATTGTAAGCAGACAGTGCACTTAGTAACCTGCACAGTGTCCTGCAGACTGTGCTGTCCAAGTATGTTCCCCTTCATAGCTCCCGCAAACCAAATCGAACTCCCTCAACCCCAGGGTCTACACGCAAAATATCATCCATGGGTTTCCACTGAACTACGCAAGGCTATCAAGTTGAAGCGTGACCTATTCAGCCTCTCCAAGAAATTCCCTACGGACTACAACCTATCAGCATATAAGGCACAGCGGAACCAGGTGAGACATCTCTCCCGCTGGTGCCACCACCAGTACATTCGTTCAATCAAAACAACACTTACCTCAGGCAGCACTACGCTTCACCAATTTGTCCGCAGTCAGCGATCGCACAAAGTAAAACCTGGCATCCCTGACATTGCAAGCCCTGATGGGCTGCTGGTGTCCAACAGCTTCCAAAAAGCAACCATCCTCAACAAGCAGTTTACCTCTGTCGCGGTGCCTGATGACCCACGTTTAGTAATACCCCCTCTCCAATATGACACTCGTCTTACTCGCCAATTCACCCGCGTTCATATCACTACAGCAGATGTTCGTAAAGCCATCTCAAACCTGAAATCTGGGAAAGCGCCAGGGCTAGACGGTATCACGAACAATATGATAAAGAAGCTAGCTCCTGCGATTTCTTTTCCACTTAGCCGCCTATTTAACCTCTCCTTTACCACAGGCAAGTTCCCTACTGACTGGAAACTGGCTAAAATTGTACCTATTTACAAGTGCAAAGGCAGCAAATCTCAAGCTAGTAACTATCGCCCAATTTCCCTCCTGTCCTGTATTTCCAAACTTTGCGAACGGCTCTTCTTCAATCAATTGTATAATCATATTTCTCCTGCTCTGGATCCCGCGCAATCTGGGTTTCGTCGTGGTGACTCGACCGCTCTACAGCTCACCAAGCTGATCCAAAACATTGCCGACCATCGTCATATGGGGCGGAAAGTTGCCATGTGCTTTTTCGACCTCGAGAAAGCTTTCGACACCGTGTGGCACCGTGCATTACTTGCTAAACTTTCCAAAGTTTTCGGTGTGTGTGACTCAGCGCTGGAGTGGATTACAGACTACCTATCCGACAGAACGCAAGTTGTCTTTGTAGGTGGAACTCTCTCAGATGCTTCACCTGTTCTGTCCGGAGTGCCCCAGGGATCCATCCTAGGGCCCCTCCTTTTCTTAGTGTATATAAATGATCTTCCCAGTCATGTTGAAGGTGTGTCCTTATTTGCTGACGATACTGCACTGCTCCGGTTCAATGAGTGTCTAGACAGGCTGCGAGACAGTCTCCAGCGCGGTATCAACGAAGTCCATCAGTGGATGACTACCTGGAGACTAAGACCTAATATCGCCAAGACTGAGATATTATTCCTGCCGAACTCAGAGCCAACCTATGCATTCACTCTTCCCGGATCCCTCACAGACCTCACAGTGGTAAAACAACACAAACATCTTGGTTTGGTCATTGACTCAGACTTATCGTTTAGTAGACATGTCGACTATATCTGTAGCAAAGCCAGTAAAGCTGTTGGCTACCTCGTGTCTCACTGCTCCCACCTACCGCTTGAATGCATTCGCCTTTTTTGTCATTGCTATATTCTCCCCATTTTTCTCTATTGCTCAACCGCCTGGTCATCCCTACTTAGTAAATCGTTAATGAGTACCCTGGAAGTCCACAATAAGAGGATACTCAAAGTCCTTTTCCGCAAACCATCATACTTTCCTTCTGCCGAGCTGTATGATATGTTTAACACCTTCCCTATCTCTAGTCAAGCGGATCGAAAACTGTGTATTGTTGTTCATTCTATTCGTCTTGACAAAGCCCCGCCACACTTGCGTAAATATAACTGGTTTCTTCCCACTCGTCCTACGCGCAATCCCTGCACTTTACCTAAAGCCCGAACCTCAGCTTATACCAGATCTCCGTTTTTTTGCTGCCTATTCTCTCTGGCTGGCCCTGCCTATCAGTAAAATCGTCTTGTACGCTAAAGGATTTCAAGGCCAACATGAAGCTCGTGTTCTAATAACTGCTAGTTCTTCATCCACATTTGCTTCTCTTTGCCTCCAGTAATGTGTAATATTTATTTATTTTTGCTTTGTTTTTGTTTACTGCCATGGCTGGCTACCGCCCCCCCCTCCCTCCATATTGGCCTATATTCTCTGGCCACGGGAAGGTGAAATAAATAAATAAATAAATAAGCATTCTCTACTAAAATTAAAGTAAATTATCGTATCCGTTCCCGAAGGGAACTCACGACGGCCGCTAACACCCGATAATTCTCTACTACTAGTAGATTATCCAGACTAGGCACCGGCAGATTTTGCCGGCATAATTTGGTGGTTGAAAATGTGGAGCATAATTTGGCATCTTTTCGGAGGTAGGAGCATAACTACATTGTACACGATTGTACCACAGTTCTAGTATGTACATGTAGGCTACACAATTGTGTGCAATGCACCTGATCAGTGCTGGTAGTCTCAGACTCTGCATGGTAAAGGGTTCGGAGATCATGCAGATAGTGTTTTCAATGAAAAGCAGGGTAGAAATCGAAATCATGGCAATACATTGTTGCATGCTCGAGCTCGTTTTCTTCAAAGTTAGTTCTTTCTCACACTGATACAGTACATGTAGCAGAAGATGGGAGTGAATCAGCCTTTATCACGGGTATCCTGGGGCGGACGAGATAGTGACGGGTAGTCCGCAAACCTCCGCGTACGTGCATGTTACGAAGTCATGAGTCTGGATTTTAGCAGCCATGACTTTGCAGGCTATGAATATTGCTTTTAAAATAATTTAAAAAAATTGAGGTATAGTTGATGTTCGGTCATCATGGATGGAAGGACAGGTGGAACTACGGGAGAGATAAGCTGATTAATCGCAGGGTGAGGGTGACACCGGTTGGACGAGTATGACGATTACGAAGACATGATACTTCTCAAAGGTAGCTAAAACAATTTTGGACTCGGATGGAGAGCCAAGGATTAATTTATACAAAAGAACAAGGACCAAGGAACTACAAGTACAAGTTACGCTATAATGTCCACTAACACCACCAGTTACTAAACAATCAGCTCATGCGATAACATTGCATGACACCGACCGACGGTACTGACGTTCTACAACGAAGGCTGTTGGAGTGCGCATCCAAGGTGTGCTAGAGCTGTTAGCCAGTTAGTTGTAGAACGTCAGTACCGTCGGTCAGTGTCGTGCAATGTTATTGCACGAGCTGATTGTTTAGTAACCAGTGGTGCTAGTGGACATTATAGCGTAACTTGTAGTTCCTTGGTCCTTGTTCTTTTGTATAAATTAATCCTTGGCTCTCCATCCGAGTCCACTCTCAACTTTGTTCTTGTTTTTGTGTAAGTATCAGGCCAAAGGGACTGCAACTGCAGCTGGTAGGCCTTTCCCAAATCGGCCATTTATTTTGGCCTATTCGGCTTTTCGATCGGCTGAAAAAATCGCTAGAATCGGATGACAATTTCTGTAAAAGGTGGAAATTCGGCTCTAAAGTCGCAGCCACCTTTCGCAGATAATGGCTACAGAATTTGTATTTGCATGCTATTGAGGCACTAAAACATCAATTTTCGGCGAATTCCGTGCGAAAATTGCGTATTCGGCTAACAGATCGGTGATTTCTTCAAAACCACTATTCTCGGCCAATGTTTCGACCGGCCGATTTGGGAAATGCCCACGGGCCGTGACGCAGGTGCGCACGAGCGGTCATCTGGTCATGCCCAGTTGCCCACGACCCTGCAAAACATGTATATTATTCGGCGATTTCTTGGTAAAATCTCAGAATTCGGCCAAAAGATCAGCGATTTTCTGAAAAGGCTACTTTTCGGCGAATTTTTCGGCCGGCCGATTTGGGAAAGGCCTAGCAGCTGACATGGTATGATGGACCATCACCCTATCGATATCAGTCAATACACTCGCAGGGGGGAGAGTCTCCTCACAATATCAGTGTTTATCAAGAAAATTTTAGAGGGTTATGGTCGCTGTAACCACCATTCAGGCATTTTGAGGACTTCAACCCAGGCCCTGATACGGAAACTACGTCATGCGCAATTCTGAGGCTTGAACAAGCCATAAAGGCCTTCGATTTTCCTTAGTGTGACCGAAACATAAGAAGAGCAGGTCTCCCATTGCGGAACAGACAAGAGGATAAATAGGAATGATTACAGCTGCAGAAGCCTCATTACCGACCAGATGCGACAACAACAAGAACAGAAAGACAGGACTAACAATGGGAGTGGGGGCAGCGAGTTGCTTCAGGCATCGGTGCAAACATAATCAGTGACTATAATAATATAATATTATATAAGAGACAAAACAGGGGAGAATGCTGTGTCACACGTGTATTGAACATGTTTTGCAAGGATGTGTGCACACGAGCAAGAACTGCTACGTCGAAATAGTATGTGTAGAAACCACTTTTACTATAATTAATAATTATGTGTTCATGGCTCACTATTTGAAGATGGTTACCTGTTGCAGTAAAGCGTATAATTTTCAAAGGATTTCTGGAGATAACCACAGGCAGGGGTCTTACAATACATGATCGGTAGCTGGAAGTCCGCCGGTATGGCCATGCATGAATAGATGTGTATGGTGGGACCAGCATACATTTCTAAATAGATATGGTCTACTCTGTGAGGAAATACTGTACTGTGTTTTGGGTTCAAAATACAATGAGGGGGGCTATACAATGAGGGGGATCTAGACAATGAGGGGGATCTATTTCTGTTGTTAGTGCGTAAATAGCCAACACAGACTTTGAAAGTAACCGTGTTCGTGTGTTTGATCAAGCTCTTAGTCCGATGTTAGGTGCCTATCGAAAGACAACTCTGTCAATGCTGAGAGAGTGGTTCAGAACCAACTGCATTTAGCTGCTCAGTGTACAATGCGGAAGTGGGGATGGATTGCTTCTCAAGCTACATGTATTTGAAAAGCTACTTCTTCAAGTACATTTTAGCATGAGTGAGCAAGGTCAACAGCAATGCCACGAGACTGTTCCATTTGATATGTGTATGATAAGGCAAGCAACGTCACGTCCTGTTTCATGATGTAGTGCGCATGTGACCCGATTGAACAATGTGACCGACCAGAAATCAACAAGAGAGCAGTGCCATGCTTGAGCTAGTACTAGTAATGCTCTTAGATTCACATGCCTCTACCTGCGTCTCCATTCTTGGTAGTATCTGGAGAGAAGGAAACCAATAGAGACTGGTCAAAAAGTTCATGCAACAAGTCTTTGCGGCATTATTCACCTGCTTCACCGTGCCCTGCATGTATCACTATTACAGTTGTGTGTCATGTTCGCACATACACACATGCACACACACACACACACGCACATACACGCACACACACACCTACACACATGCACACACACACACACACACATGCACACACACACACACACCTACACACCTGCACACACACATGCACACACACACACACACACACACACACACACACACACACCATTGGACCATTGGACGCCCATCGCCGGAGGCGATGATAGCGATGCTACAGCAGAAGCCATAGCAGCTTGTGCTGGGATTGCACCATTCAACAGCTTGCAAGGCTGAAGAATTGGCCGCCACTATTCAGCCTGGTCTACACCACACAGCTATGAAGTGGCTATTTCTGGCCAGTGAATCCCTACTTTTTGGTCTTTTTCATTTTTGTTTTCACACACACACATCACACCACATACTCCGGCATGCACTGGCTGTTGGTAACCACCCAGGAGAATGAAAGAAAAGTCAGGAAGAGTCTAAGAAAGAGAAGAAAGGCGCGTGTGACCATAATCGTTGGAAATCGAACCCGCAACCTATTGGTTGGAAATCGCTGCACATACCACTGCACCATATGGGACACACACACACACACACACACACACCTCAGACCTCAGACATGCCCATCGCGGAAGCGATGATAGCGAACAGCTATGTTAGACATAGCAACTTGTGCTGGGATTACACCATTCAACAGCTTGCAAGGCTGATGAATTGACCGCCACTATTTTTAGCCTGGTATCCACCACACAGCTGTTTGAGGTGACTTTTTCTGGCCAGTGAATCCTTATTTTTCATTTTTCATTTTTTTTTCTACACACACACACCACACCACATACTCCGGCATACACTGGCTGTTGGTAACCACCCAGGAGAATGAAAGAAAAGTCAGGAAGAGTCCGAGAAAGAGAAGAAAGACGTATGCGACCATAATCGTCGGGAATTGAACCCGCAACCTCTCGATTGGAAATCGACTGCACATACCACTGCACCATATGGGACACACACACACACACACACACACACACACACACACACACACACACACACACACATATATATATATACATTATTGGTGTGCTGGGTGTTTTGTCCAAGGTTGTATACTCTCCCAAGGACTTGAAGTAGATGCACATACGAAACCAGAGCACGCGCAGTCATACAACAACAAACACATTCCAAATGAGCCCGGTGAACATATTCTAGAATGAACCTGCTGAACGAATTCTAGAATATGCCTGTTGAACTAATTTCAGAATAAGTCTGGTGAGGACATTCCAGAATGAGCCCAGCGAAAACATCAGTCCAGAATGAGCCTAGTGAACACATTACAGAATGAATCCAGTGAACGCATACATGTAAGTAAGTCAACAATGTAAGGTTTCTGACCTGTGAAAACGGAACAAGGCTGAGAGTAGTTCGAGTAACGTTGCCACTGAAATGCCCAGACCGGTTGCGAACAACAGTGCCAGTCCACAATATATATCTATATACATGTAGTCATATGATGGATCATATGTGCCATTGTATTCGCTAAGTTGTTGACTGGGTTGCCCGGCTCGGTGAATTATTACTGTGAAACAAAACAACAACAACAACAACAACAACACCAACCAGCACCGACCGCTGTAAAGACTCCCCACTGTACAAGTCCCTAAAACACTACAATGCCCTCCCTGCTAGCATTCGTGACGCTCCCTCCCGAGCTGCTTTCAAACAAGAAATCTACTCACTGCTGATAAACTCAATCTGCTCCTGCAGCGCTCACCCTCTCCCATACTTGTAAAATTCAACGGGACGTAAATTGCTTTCCAACTCCATAACCCTCAGCCCCGCCCATACCATCTCACCTTCTCTTAACAAGTCAAGGTAGCTCGGGCCTATATCGCGAAAAATATCGGAGGTCAAACACCACTTTCTGTCCGATTCAAATATTCAGGGTTGAAGCATCATGAGGGCAAGCTGTTAATCCCAAATTTTGGCTAGTGTGTAATGACAACAACAACAACAACAACAACAACAACAACAACAACAACAACAACAACAACAACAACAACGACAACAACAACAACAACAACAACAACAACAACAACAACAGACACAGCCACAGCAGCAACAAAGCCATTACCCCAACACCCACCTGCAATTTTGCACTTACATGAGCCCCTCTCATACTTTCATGTAAATATTATTGCTCCCATCCCGCTCACAATTAGAGTCCAGCGGATAATGTCGGCATTTTAGTCGGCCTTATGAGACTATCCGAGCATCCGAGACATATTGAGCATTAGAAAGGAACAGAACGAACATTATGTGAGGCTTGAGGGGCATGATGAGTTAAAAACTTCGAAGTAGTGTATATTACAGGTGGAATCCTGATAATTCGAACCTCCAAATGCCGGAAAAAAATTCCAATTATCCGGATATTCTAATCATCCAAACATGAACCCACACCACAATATGTATGTCAAAATGCTCTCATGGTCACACAGAGTTGCGCTATTGACCTTAGACACAGATTTCACGGATACTGAACTGACCAGCACAGCCTGCTCATGCAAACTGAACTGACCAGTACAGTGTACAGTGAACTTCGAATTACACTTTGCTAACTTCGAATTATCAGCACAAATCCCACACATTTTCAAGTAAGTGGAATCCGTGGAACTTCGAATTAATGACATGTCCGGTTCGAGGTTCGAATTATCAGAAAAATTTATGTGGGAATCGTATTGACAGAAATCGGTCCTGGAAAAACTTCTAAGCGGTATGTTCGAACTAAGCCATATTCGAATTATCAGGATTCCACCTGTATTGGGAAATTCCAGGTTTGTGCCGCAGGCTTTGGTGCTCGAGCAGCTAAGCAGAAAGAGCTCGTTTCTAACAATTGTCTTTTAAGAGTCCAGCCGAGCAGGCTCGAAAAGCACTAGAATTACTCATGACCTCAGTACTAAGTTCTGACGATGGGTGACTCGCCCGAAACGTCAATTTTTCGACATCATTAATAAAAGAATTTTCATCTAAAGAGTGAATAGCAACTAAATAGAGCGGTTGTCAGTTGACAAACCCCCTTTTATTTACAATGCAGTTGCGTGATGTCCACCACTTTCTGAACGAACGCCTCAGTATTAAGTCGATATAATCGTTAAGCAGCGCATTTCAGAGTTTCCTTGAGAAACACGCACAGTTAGTTGTGGACAGCTGTACTGCCAAGCCTGCAGTCAAGTCCTAAAGAAGACAGCACAAGCAAAGGAAGTCAAGTGGCACAATAGTCTGGCTACGTGTCCCGCGTGGCTTACGGACCCAGTTACGGTGGACGGGAGGGAACTCGATCCGAGATCGGCTTTCAGGAACCTGCCCAATGATGACCAACATAGTTTTCACATCTCATTTCAAGGGAAATGTCTGGAAAGGATTTGATACGCCCACTCTTCAGCCACATCCCTGCAAGTTGCGAAGGAGAGCAGTCACTGGAGAAGCGATCATGTCTAATAGTACTGAGAGATGGTGGAGCTTGTGGGGAAGTATGGCGGCAGCTCCACGGGCACACTGGCCATCTGCATCCCTTAATTCCTGGACGTTGGACAATGTTGAATTATGTGCGGCCTTACTTCCTTTCTCACAAACCAAGAGTATTAATATAGCCCCTGCAGACGCATTATAAATTTATAATCGGCATTATGAGGTAGTCAAGTTTTGGAGCATTAACCAAATGTTCAGCACACCACAGAACTCAGATAAGCATATTCGGTGACTGGCAGTGGTGGTGGTGGTGGTGGTACGCCACTGCGAAGTGAACCGATCACGTTGGACTGAGTCTGCTTTGCACAGACACGCAAATGACCACCATCATTGCCATGGTAACATCATTACCATGGTTTTGCACAAAGGTACATGTAAGTACTTTCCAACTAAAAAAAGAAGAAGTAAAGTTCGCACATCCGCGTTACAGCCGGCTATACAATTCAGTGTTTGAGGAACACAACCTGCTTTCCAACTACTGGTATCTTACGATAGTCGGAAGGTGTAAGGCTAATACTAAGTGAGAGTTTACGTTGCGCGTTCAAAAGCAAAATCCATACATGCGTTGAATATGACCACGTCTGTGGTATCAAAGTATTACGCTGCACGTACACTGTGCTGAGTTCCTACACTGTGCTGAGTTTCCGTGAAGTTTAAAGAGTGCTGAGGGTAGGAATCTTTTGCTCACTCAACCATTGAGATGCTCGCCTTCGTTTTCATCTCGCTGTGGACAGGATCAGATGGATGATGAAATAGGGCCAGGGGCTGTCTTTGCTGCTCCTGTTTTGCTTTATGGTTTGGACGACGATCCCCTGGTCGCTGGCGTAGCAATTTTAGAAGAATTTGAAGCACTACCGACTCGACTGCGTCACTGTGGCAGTGAGATTCGTAGGGCGGTGAACAAGTAATAGAAGTTAAGATGCACGTTATTTCTGACGTGACGCGAAAGTTCAGCTCACGTTATTTGGCTCGCGCGTTGAAAAACAACGCGACTGATCTGAAGCTCACTTCGAAATTTGGAGTTCTACGCCAAATTTGACGGGGAATTGCGCATCACGTCGGAAATAACGTGCATTTTAACCTCTATATATAATAGATGTAATTCCAGTCTCAAACTGCGCCAACAACATTCCCTCCTTCTTCAAATTAAAGCAGCTGAAAACTGGCTGTGAGCAACAGACGAAGAAGGCGATCCGTTTTCAAAACAAAAAAGCAAAGCTATCAACTATGAGCAGGGCCGGCACCACCGGTACGGCCATGGCCGTAGCCGCCGTACCAACTTCCCAAAAAGTCGGTCGACGTGGAACGTCCAAAACCGGGGAGAAAAAGTTTCGATGTATGATTTTGTACAGGGAGTTGCCCAGAGTGCAGGATTTGCCGTCTAAATTCCAAAAAAATCCTGGGGGAGGACCCTCAGACCCCCTTTAAAAATGGCCCTTCGGCCGCACCGCTCCGCGGAACCTGCCTCCGGCCCTGATGAATGAAGTTATCTAGATTCCCAACGATTTGACAACAAAACAGGCGGATTACTTCAATAAATTCATGCTTTTCTTCAGCATGAGTGGGTCCGCGTTCACATTGAAAACGCATGTTCAAACAAGAAGAGGAGCATCATTGTGGACGTGACATTTCACGTTCGAATACGAAAAAACCTGCAAGTTCAACTCTCTATACTACTTGTGAATGAAAAATGAAAATTTACGGTACTTTGTATTATATATACCGTACTGGCGGGATTAGTTTCCTCTGGGTCACCATGGTCACTATGTTTTCAATGTCCATCGAAAATGGGGCAATATTCAAGAGAGGGCTATTTGGATCAGTGCATGCGTCTTCGGGGGAAATCGATTTCTTTCAGAATTTTGAGAAAATCGGTCGGAAAGAAGAGTAAACATTTTTTTAGCTTGATCACTCAGCAGCGGCACCAGCTCACTGTCCTCGACAAGCGATGTGTTCGCTGCGTAGCCAATCTGCCCTTCCCGTCCCATACCACTCCTATATACACTCGCCTTTCCCTGACCCCTGTAATTGAACGTGCCAAATGCAAACTCCGTTTCCTTATGCACCGTGTCCACACCAGCAGCATCAGCCCTCTTCTGAAAGATAGAGTAGCCCTCCAACCTCCCAGTAACACCCGTGGCAATGACAATTGCAAATACGTTGTTCCGCTAACTCGGCGAACATCTGGCGACAGCCGACCATTGGTTTCCGCCGTGAAGCTTTGGAACACCCTGCCACAGGAACTCACGTCCGCTCGTCGTCCAACCCCGTTTAAAAGATTGCTGAAAGTGTTTTTCTACGGTTAATATGGCCGAATAGCACCTCCCTCTGGCATAGGTCCTCATCTTCCTATTTCTCCCTGATTGTTACTTCGTTCGAACTTGACTTGTAATTACCGGTACAAATACTTCCTTTTGACTGTTTTCTCATTTTCGCAAGTGAAGCTTTATCGAGCTACACTTTTTATTCTATCGCCATCATAATATTGGGCATCAATGCCCGTTTGGTTTGCGATGTAAAATAAAACTTCAAACAAAAATCACGGATCTTGACATTCTTGTCGACATATTCCAGCTCGATCTCAAGAGAAGCGACAAGTGATCGGCTTTCATCAATCATCATGGACGTGGCAGCACAGCAGGAGTTGGAAGAAACACTTGAGGAAGGGCCTGTGAGTAGTCACACTCGCGGCAGAAGCCGAGCAGCACGTCGCGTCGGTCAAGCTGTACCGGTGCCGCTCGCGTGATAATCGGCGCCTCCGAAGAGATCAGCAAAGTTATCGAGGAGGAAGACGACAATTTGAATTATTTCTTTGGCGAGTCGGAAGGGTCGGTAACTAGCAGCTGTACTCGCTCACTGTCTGGCAGTGAGTCTGACGAACCCCCAGCTAAGCGTCCCCAAGTGGAAGACTCCTGGGTTAAGCTTGAAGGTGACAAGGTGACAAAAACGTCGGCTGCTGAAGAATGTGACACCATCCAGATGCTGCGTAATTCCAGTGATGCCACAGGCCTCTCGAGCAGCTCTCTTCCTGGTGTGCTTCCAGAAGCAGGCTTGTCAGCTCAACGCTGCAAGTACTTACAGGACAATGTTCTAGGGTTTTGTCATCCGGAGAACAAGGTAGCCTGAGGCCCTTCACTGAATGTCTTGGGCAAGACTAAAGGCTGTTTCGCAAAACTATAGCTGCTTTCAGCAACACTGTAGATAATGCATTATACAAGGGATATTCCGTGTTGGACAATGCCATAGAAATCATGGTCTCTGTGTACATATGTACTTTCAAATGTGATATCCAACTTTATCTTCCACAGAGGTGTTCCTTAGACCCCTGTGATTGATTTTCAAAATTTCCAAAAGATTTGCCCTTAGACATGGTATGCACCGGCCCATTTGTTCAATGCTGGTACATTTGCGTCATCCAGCATAAAAACAAAGCAAAGCAGAGCCTAAAACAGAGCCTAAAGTTTACTGTAAACTAGCACGACTCCACACAAACGGCAACAAGAACTGCGATTTTGATCCTGAAACCATCAGTGCAGTGCCATGGACAAGAACATTACCAGAATAACAGTAAAATGTTCACATTATATACACTGTATTATATTGGATTTCAAATCTCAAGCCTTGCAGTGTATATTATCAGCTACGTAGGTTTTCCATCGCTCACTGGATTGATATCTGTTCGTTACAATCAACCTTCCGTTTTCTTTTCTTTCTTTTTCCTATCTCTACTTTTGCACAGTATTCTTTAAATTTTTATTCCCAGTCAGTCCATTGTTAGGCATCATGCCTGTTTTGATTTCCACTATAAATAAAGTATCCGACAACGACGACGACGACGACGACGACGACGACGACAACAACAACAACAACAACAACAACAACAACAACAACAACAACAACAACAACAACAACAACAACAACAACAACAACAACAACAACCTATCTCTTATTGGCGATGGTGCCATCATGAGAAAAAAGAATTCAAAAACAACCATTCGAGACATAGCACTATTCAATAGGCCTTGACGGATTATGCTAGCATAGTTTTTCGCATAATTCCTACCAAAATCGAATAATCGCATAATTCGAGGCAAATAGCATACGAATCGCATAAATTGGAATAATCCGCCTGTTCGCATCAAATTCCATACAGTTGTACATGTCGTACAAGTACATCGTACAAGTAGATGCACCAGGAAGTCGTAGGTTTACTACTCCCGTGATAACATGTCCATTCCACTACAATCAGTGATGGTCGTAGCTAGGTCGGACGGTGCGTTGACCCCGTTGAATTTTTGCTACTACAGTACAACGCCCTCTACAAAAAATTGCCCTGTTATTTTGCACAAAACCATCAAATACATTAGCAGCATATGTGAGCATAATGCGGCATAATTTGATAAATTTTAGCATAAAAATTTGGGCTGAAACGATTATACCGAATAATCGATTACTCTTTTGATAACTCTAACGATCGAGCAATCGTTTAGATTACCGATTACGATTATTTTGCATCTTTTAAATTTTTTAATTTCTTATACGCGCAGTGCATGCAGCGCAGAATATATAGTACACACTCATGACAGCTATACTAGTAGCCTCCACATAATGACACCTAGTATCTGTTGTCTGTAACGCTGCCCATTAGTGGGCAATCATGCCACATAGCATTTTTTCATTTTTTTGTGCAAAATTTTGTACATATTTCCACTTTTGGCCATTCCACATAGTAGTAGTAGTAGTAATAGATTTTGTTATTTTACTAGGGGAGTCCCAACAGGCGTTGCCTTTTTACTGGGAACCCTAGCATGTACATATTCCAGGTGCGGCCTCTTCAAGACTATAATCGAATAATCGATCGTTATGATAAAGAGTAATCGATTGGTAGGCTCCGGCGGATTATGCCAGCGAAATCATGGAATTATGCTTTCATGGATTCTCGCATTATGCTCGCAAAATCCTCATACTATGCTTTGGCACCCGGTGATACATATTCACTTTGTTGTACCTATGGAGCCTCAAAGTTCGGAAAATTGTGCTTTCTTGGTACTTGCAAGTGGCCATAAGTACAACAAAAATGTTACATGAGTATCCCCATACCAAGGTATCCATGCATGCTAGAGATCAACATGGAAAAGAGAAAACATTACGTCTTCTACTTTGAAGTATTCATGAGTTGACTTCTTTTGTAAAAAGAATTTTTCATTGCCAAATTCGTTTGAGTTACCTTCGAAAATTATCGTGTTCAACTATCTTCGTAATCGTCATACTCTGACAACCGATGTCACCCTCACCCTGCAAATAATCAGCTCATCTCTCCCGTAGCTCCACCTCTCCTTCCATCATGACCGAACCTCAACTAGACATAGATTTTTTTAAATTACTAGAGCGATATCCATACCCTGCACAGTCATGGCTGCTAAAATCTAGTCATGAATTCATAACATGCTGCTTTGCATAATGTACATGTACATGTACGTGGAGTTTGCGGACTACCCGTCACTATCTCGTCTGCCCCGGGATACTAAAGTACCTGGTAAAGGCTGATTCCCCGGCATCTTCTGCTACATGTACTGTATCAGTGTGAGAAAGAACTACTTTGAAGAAGACGAATTTGAGCATACAATAATGTTTTGCCATGATTTCTACCCTGCTTTTCATTGAAAACACTATCTGCATGACCTCCAAACCCTTTACCATGCAGACCATCAGCACTGATCAGGTGCATTGTACACAATTCTGTAGCCTACATTTTACATACTAGAACGGTGGTACAATCATGTCCTTGTGCTCCTACCTCCGAAAGGATGCTAAATTATGCTCCAAATTTTCAACCACCAAATTATGCCAGTAATTATGCCGGCATAATCCGCCGGTGCCCATCGATTGGGCTAAATGGATGATCGTTTCAGCCCTAATAAAAATAGCATAATTCTGCAATTTTTCAGCAATGCGAATAGCATAATTTCACGAAAATAATTATTACTATTTAGCATAGTCCGTCAAGGCCTACTATTCAAGAGAGGGCCCTAATCGCGCGAGTACGGTAACTAAGAGTTCAGGAGTTCTTTCAGGTGACGCATTGGGTGTTGCAATGTGAAACTTTTCAAACTTACCGTTTATAACAGTTGCGAACACAATCGCGACAACAGCCATTATGGCCGCGACGGTATCCGGTATATCCATCTCTGCGAAAGTTTTTATTCCGGCGTTCCGTGACCTGTCTCGAAAGGAACCAAAGTCAGTGGACGGCTGAGTGGCAATGACGAGAGGCCAGTCGGCAGTCTCGACGGAACACAGGGCTAGGCGGATAGGTACGAAGCGGCGTTCCGATGGCTAGCATGCAACAGTGATTGACGGAGCCCAGCTACTGTACAGCGAGCAGGATACAATGTTGAATGGCAACGAGATCTTTTCTTGGTGGGGAAAGCGACTGGGCAAGACGTAACCAGTTTAGCGAGGACTTCGACACTGCGACAATCAGAACATTCATAATATCACAAGCAACAGCCAACGTTGCAACACGGCGAAAGTAGACTGAAATGATTCGAATTCTGCAGAGCATGATCTCGAGTTGATGATTCGGCGAGCCAATTTCTCGCCGAAAGAGTGTGGATAGACGAAGGAAGGCTAGGATTAGTGCTGAGTCGGGTAGCATTATCTTCGCCGACTTCGGTAGTTTCCACGGGTAGCACGGGTGCCCGATCGGGGTAATGTTTCCATGGTAACACCACAAAGGCACACCCCTTCGCTTCTCTTAGTAATAGTAGTCTTACACACTGCACTGGCCGACTGAGCTGGGTAGACATACATGCGATGCGGAGTATTTTTGTACACGCACGCTGTCTGTAGTGTAGTCTACAATCTAAATGCGGTTTATCCATTCGCCTTTATAATAATCATTGGGCCTAGTTCCCATTTAGTGTGCGAATTAAAATAAGCCAACCAATGACTGTCATCTGCGACTTCGGGTTTTCGGGTACTACATGTATTTTGTACCCCTGTGACACCAAAATTTGAAACCAAAAATCAGGTATTAAACGGGCAAACACAAAGGAGTCGCTCAGTTCGATCGACTCTGGCCTCAGAGCAAACCTCAACATGCCAGCTTCCTTCCACAAACATATTTCGAGTGAACCATCCACGCTGATGATCGTTTTGGGTCTACACAATTTTGCTGTCAAACCGTTCCTATTTGAAACACCCTCCTCTACGACCTAGGCCCATGGGCTTTTACACCGAGGCTTCGCGCTGTTCGAACTAAGTATATTTACTTGGCCTGGGCGTATGCGCGAGTATGGACTTACACGCGGGTGGGCACATGGCATGGGCTTATCAGCGGGATTTTTGTATTTGTATTCTATTATTGGCATTCCCAACAGACCCTAAGGTCTTCTTACAGTGTGCCCAAGATGAATGGGATTACAGTGTGCCCAAGATGAATGGGATTACAGTGTGCCCAAGATGAATGGGATTACAGTGTGCCCAAGATGAATGGGATTACAGTGTGCCCAAGATGAATGGGATTACAGTGTGCCCAAGATGAATGGGATTACAGTGTGCCCAAGATGAATGGGATTACAGTGTGGCCAAGATGAATGGGATTACAGTGTGCCCAAGATGAATGGGATTACAGTACTACCATACTACATGCAGTATTCAATGCAATTTTACCCTTTACTTCACCTTTACTCCCCCTTTACTTCACCTTTACTCCCCCTTTACTTCACCTTTACTCCCCCTTTACTTCACCTTTACTCCCCCTTTACTCCCGCTTTACTCCCCCTTTACTCCCCCTTTACTCCCCCTTTACTCCCCCCTTACTTCACCTTTACTCCCCCTTTACTCCCCCTTTACTCCCCCTTTACTCCCCCCTTACTTCACCTTTACTTCACCTTTACTCCCCCTTTACTCCCCCTTTACTTCACCTTTACTCCCCCTTTACTCCCCCTTTACTTCACCTTTACTCCCCCTTTACTCCCCCTTTACTTCACCTTTACTCCCCCTTTACTCCCCCTTTACTTCACCTTTACTTCACCTTTACTCCCCCTTTACTTCACCTTTCTATTTCATATAAGAGTTCATAGGAAAGATGTTCGCTCCCACATGAAATCATCGTCTGAGTAGCTACCCTGGCCTAGTGCATGCAAAACTTGAAGAAAAAATCTGACAATAAGTGGACAGGTGATGTGTGGAGGCATTAATCTTCATAAACCAATGAGACAAGAGTCACAAGTCACAAGATGCGAAAATGGCAAGTACAGAGACAGATAAGACTAACGCTAACACAGGGCCAGTGGGTAGGGGTAGTGTGTTACCCGCTTCAGGCATCAAGACAAAAAGCATCAGTGCATGACTATACGAGAAAAGCAAACAAAGGAGAGGAGAATGTCGTGTCACAGGTGTAATGAATACTTCAAACTGCGTGTTTTGCAAGGATGTGTGCACACGAACAGGAGCTGCTAACATGTAGCGCCACTATGTGTTCATGGTTCCGATGTATTTGAAGATGGTTTCATGTTGTAGGAAAGAGCATAATGGTCACAGGATTTCCAGGGGTCTAATAATACACGACCGTAAGGCTGGAAACCCGCCGATATAGTCACGCATACAGCAGTTACATACGAAGTGTGTGTATGGTGGGACCAGCATAATTTTCTAAAGAGATAATTCAGGCAACTCTACAAGTAAATACTGTAGTGTGTTGGGATCAAAATACAATGAGGGGGGTCTATTTCTGTTGTTAGCGCGTAAATAGCCAACACAGACTTTGAAAAGTAACCGCGCTCGTGTCTTTGATCAAGCTCTTAGTCTGATGTTGGGTGTCTCTCTAAAGACAACCCCGTCAATGCTGAGGGAGTGGTTCAGAGCCGACTGCATTCAGCTGCTCAGTGTACAGAGCGGTAGTGGGGATGGATTTCTTCTCAAGCTAAATAGCTACTTCAAGCACATTTTAGCAATTCACGAGTATGCGCAAGGTCAACAGCAATGCCACCAGACTGTTGCGTTTGATCCATGCATGATGGTACAAGCAACCAGCTGTCGCATGATCTAGTACTTGTATGTACATCATGATCAGAATAACAAAAATGAGACTGACCAAAAGCCAACAAGCGGACTGTACAACATTGTAGCTAGCACCAGTAGTGGGCTTAGGTTTGCATCCTTCTACCTGCGCGGTGCCTGCAGAGGAGATAACCATACGGGACTAGTCAAACGTATCATGCAACAAGTCTTCCATACAACATGCATGTGCTTGCCTGGATGTATCAACATTGCAATTGTTTGAAACTTTAGCATGCACACACACACACACACACACACACACACACACACACACACACACACACAAAATGCACACACACGCACACGCACACACACACACACACACACACACACACACACACACACACACACACACACACACACACACACATAAACACATACACACATACAAACACACACACACACACATAAACACATACACACATACAAACACACACACATACAAACACACACACACACACATTATTTTGCTGAATGTTTTGTCAAAAGTTGTACACTCTCCCAAGTACATGTACATACAAAACCTGGTGTCACTGTGTACTGTCATGCCAGCATGAGCCGGCTGAACACATTCCAGAATAAGACTGCTCAACACATTCCAGAATAAGACTGCTCAACACATTCCAATAAGACTGCTGAACACATTCCAGAATAAGACCGCTGAACACATTCCAGGATAAGACTTAGGCTTTCCCCAAATCGGCCCGTTTTTCGCCTATTCGGTTTTTGCTCAGCTCAAAAATACATCAGATTCGGCTACAAAATCAGCTGATTGTTTGAAAATCGGCTGCAAAATTGGAATTATAATTATTGGAAAATCAGCGAAAAGAATTGTTGGCATATCGGCTTCAAAATTGGTGAGACATTGGACGATTTGGGAGATTTTTCGGCGATTCTCAAGGGAACCCTCCAACATCGGAGGAAAGCTTAGCGATTTTTCGATAAGTCTCGTTTCGGCGAATTTTTCGGGTGGCCGATTTGGGGATTTTACTAGGAACGATCTTCCTAGTGGCTAATGACTGTTTGTTTGAGACTGAGAGTAGGTCAAAGGACAGGATTCACACGACCTCAACACACTAGTATTACACGTACTGAACTGTCTGAACTGTCTGTAGGCATGGGCGGGTAATGCTAGCATTATGGCTGGCATTAGAGTCCCTTATTTCCAGGTGGCATAATGCTGGCATTATAACACCATTTCGCATGCAAAATTGGCATTACAAGCATAATTGCCGGTCGACAACGGTGTCATGCATGACGCTGGCTAGGTCCAGTTCCAAAAACCGTGCATCTGAACCCGTTCGGCTTCGTCCGGAGACTTGACGTTGCAAATCAACCTTCTCAGTGGATTGTTTCAGACAACATGCTCACTGCTGTTTTAAAAGTTTTCTTCTTCTACGCTTTGGCCTTGATCCAAGACGGCCTTCTTAAATCGACTTTTCCAACTTTCAAACTGGCATTATGGAGTAGTGTGAGCATTATAAGTGGCATTATATCCTCATCATTATTATGAGCTTTGCCTTTAGCATTATCGCAGCAAATAACTAGCATTACCTGCCCAAACCTAACTGTCTGAAGTAGAGAGCTCGAGCGGTCATGCCTGCAGCAACATCATTCATTCTCCAACGCACTTTGCAACAGCATTTGGTAGATTTTCGGCGATTCTCAAAGGACTCCTCCAAAATCGGCGAAAAGCTTAGCGATTTTCAATACGTCTCGTTTTCGGTGAATTTTCGGCCGACCGATTTGGGGAAAGCCTAATAAGACTGATAAACACATTCCGGAATGAGCCCAGTGAACACATTCCAAAATGAGCCCAGTGAACACATTCCAGAATGAGCCCAGTGAACACATTCCAGAATGAGCCCAGTGAACACATTCCAGAATGAGCCCAGTGAACACATTCCAAAATGAGCCCAGTGAACACATGTCAGAATGAGATCAGGGAGCACAGAAGTATGTCAACAATGTAAGGTTCCTGACCTTAGAAAACAGAAACAGGCGAATACTCCGAGCCTGACCAGAGTTTGTAACAGGCTTGCATAGAAGGCATGAGTTTGCAGTCCAAATTCACCAAATTTATTTCGACTTGTATTGTCAGATGATGGCTCAGGTAACTTATTGTGCGTGTTATGACTTGATGGCCCGGGTGCCTTAGTCATTACTGTGAAACAACAAAAGCAGCAACAACAAAAGCAGCAACAACAAAAGCAGCAACAACAAAAGCAGCAACAACAAAAGCAGCAACAACAAAAGCAGCAACAACAAAAGCAGCAACAACAAAAGCAGCAACAACAAAAGCAGTAACAACAAAAGCAGCAACAACAAAAGCAGCAACAACAAAAGCAGCAACAACAAAAGCAGCAACAACAAAAGCAGCAACAACAACAACAACAACAACAACAACAACAACAACAACAACAACAACAACAACAACAACAACAGCAACAGCAACAGCAACAACAACAGCAACAGCAACAGAAACAGCAACAGCAACAGCAACAATAGCAACAGCAGCAGCAGCAACAGCAGCAGCAGCAGCAGCAACAGCAGCAAGAGCAACAGCAGCAACAGCAGCAGCACGAGCAGAAACAACACTAGGGGCGGTTCAAACGCCATTACACTCTTCCTTATTTCGTGTCAGAGCACTCTCTGTACTAATAACAACAGCACCGGGAGGAGCAGAAGCAGCAGTAGCAGCAGGAGCAGCATCAGGAGCAGCAGCAACAGCAACACCAACAGCAGCAGCAGCAGCAGCAGCAACAAAAACACCACCACCGCCACCAACAACAACAACACCAACAGCAACCGCAACAGCAGCAGTACCAACAGCAACCGCAACAGCAGCAGCAGCAGCAGCAGCAGTACCAACAGCAACAGTAACAGCGACAAAGGGATCAACTGGTAAATATTATTATCATTTGTGGGATTACTCAAAGGCCGAAGCCTAAATCAACGGGGTCTCGCAGAATTAATATCGCTGTGATATACATGAAGAGAAAAGGACCTACCGTAATTCCGCGCATATAAGCCCATGGGCCTATATCCGGATATAAGCCTACCTCCGTTTATAAGCCCATGGGCTAATAAACAGACACAAATGCAACTCATGTAGAATTTTTCACAAAACGGACTCTTCCTACCATGGTACAGCAGGTCAGTGCAGTTTACCAGTAGAGTATTATAATTATGGTAGACTGACCATGAGCACGGACTTGTACTTTTTCGTGAACCTTCAAAATTCGAATATTGGCCCATGGGCTAAAAAACGAACATGTTTTACTGGATATTTTATCCCCAAACTGCATACTGCATGCATGACAAAAAAAGCATAGGGATGTTTTAAATTCTTTTAGAACGAGGTCTGTCTCGTTGTCCAGGAAACGACCAATCAGCGACATTCCCGCCAAGGGCCTTATCAGAGTTTAAAGCCCGCTCAATCGTTATTTTACTACTCTTGATGACGCGTCGAGGGCCTTGGATTAGTTTAAAGCCCGCTGAATATACTCTAAACTGGTGCGTACAACTCCCTGTATGCATAATAGTACGGTGCAGATAATGAACTCTGCATAACGTGTACGGTGTACTACTAAACGCTACGCAATTCAGAAGTGTGTACGGTTTTGCCTCCCGTACTCTTTCATCTGTACGAATTTTCTTTGTCAACAGCTTGCGGAAACCTATAAAAATCGAAGATCAAAGTCATTAGAGTTATCGACAAGGGGCTCTCAGAGCCCCTAAATAACTCCACAAGCTACATGTATGAATAAGAATGAAGCTCGCAATAAGAGCCCAGCATTTCATTTGCTTCCATTCTACTTTTAGTAGTCCTAAGTGGTGCTGAGTTACCATAACTTACCAGAATAAAATATTCTTTCATACCACACCAAGTCTCTCTGCACACAAACCACAAAACTACCCAATATAGTGGTACACAAGCATAATGGAAGTGAGATAATGCATGTAACCTCGTTCTAAAATAGTTAGTGCATGGCAGGGAGGGTCTTATGGCTTGTTTGTGCCCTTCAGGGTAGCCCTCGGGCCTACGGCCCTCAGGCTAACCTGTCGGGCACTAACAAGCCATAAGGCCCTCCCTGCCATGCACTAACCTATAAATAAAATTATACTTTTTGTTTTTAGATATAACCTGGGATTCGAACCCGCACTATCGCCCTGCGTGCATCCACCGATACACTTCGCATACATACTAATTCTTCCAAGTTGCTTCACGTTATGATCTTGTATTTGAAAGCCCTATTTGAATATGCATTGTGGCCCGCCGTCTTTGATTGTACGGTACGGTACGGGACAGGTACGGAACAGGTACGGTCGAGGGTAATACGACACCGTCTACCGCCTTGATGACGGCAAAAAAAAAGAATAGGGATGTTATAAATTTTTCAATTCTCCTATTTTTTCAGGCATTACCTGGGATTCGAACCCGCACTATCGCCCGACATGCATTCCCCCATACACTTCGCATTCATACTCATTCTTCCAAGTTGCTTCACGTTATGATCTTGCGTTTGAAAGCCCTATTTGAATATTGCGGCCAGCTGTATGTGGCCAGCTGTGTTTGATGGTACGGTACGGTACGGGACAGATACGGGATAGTGCCAGGCGTGACACAAACAAACACCAAATTAAAGCTGTGTGGACCCTGGCTAGCGCCAGACGTTACTGAAGTAACGTCTTCTGCATAGCTACGGGAATAATGTACAGTCAGATAGTGTGACAACAAGGCACAAAACTGACAAGGATATTGAGACACTCGACGACCTGTCACATCTAGCTCCAACACATCTACAAAGCGCAAAACAACAACCTTCCAACTTGGAAGGCTGAGGTGCGGAAAATTCCAATGAGGGGAAGGGATGCGTCACGGAGATGTGCACGAGCTTTGTCCCTCGGCAACGAAGAATATCGAAGGTTACGGGATGATGATGACGAGACTAGTAAGACCATTGGACAAACCGGTCTAACTACAACTCAAAAACGCAAGGTAACAGAGAAAGGGAGTTTAGCCGGATATTGGCTTTCGGTTTGTGACAGTTCGTCTTCGCTTGGCTTCCCCCCTTTATGTGTTGTTACATGCTTTTGAGCCTCCCAAGTTGGGTGGTTTGCTGCCTTGCGTTTCGAGTTGCTGCAGTTAGACCGGTTAGTCCAATGGTCTTACTAGTCTCATCATCATCATCCCGTAACCTTCGACATTCTTTGTTGCCGAGGGACAAAGCTCGTGCACATCTTCGTGGCACATCCCTTCCCCTCATTGGAACTTTCCGCACCTGAGCAAGTTGGAAGGTTGTTGGTTTGCGCTTTGATGATGTGTTGGAGCTAGGTGTCAGGTCGTCGAATGTCTCACTGATAACCTTGCCAGTTTTGTGCCTTCTTGTCGCACTATCTGACTGTATAATATCTCGTTACCTTGGTGGACTGTTCGTCATAACTAGTAACTTACAGGTCCTTTTCTCTTTACATCTTACTTATTGCCTCAACATCTGGCTGTGATATACATGTACATTAGGGTCTCATTTTTAAAAGGAAGAAAATAATTATTGCCCCAGGCAGCTAGCAGTTAGCCTGATTATACCGGCATAATTTCTGGCATAATCAGGTCCTTTTTGAGGAGGAGCATAAAGTGGCATCTGAAAAACAAGGGTAGATGCCCAATGAGGTTGTTATATACACACCTGCTATTGAGGGACCATCAAGAGTACATGAAAACCAAGAGTGTGCAGCTTGGGGCCTTTTCTGCTCTTGGTGTCTGTCACGGCGGACTTCCGTGATTACATCATATTTGGCGCAGATCTGAGGCGGGAAATGGCGTAGTGCGTAGATCTACAACTGAGCTGCAGTTGTGCAGAAAGAGACCTGCTTGAATCCTGCTTGTACGCACTACATCACTAAAATGATGTAATCACGGAATTCCGCCGTGACAGCAACCCATCCGAGCTGCACACTCTGGTTTTCATGTACTCTGGGGGACCATACATAGCGCTTCTCGTCGATTTGGAATATTATTTTAGTAGCCACTATAGGACATTTCCCAAAAAATCAGCGTTTGCTTGTGAAGTTTGGTATTCCTCTTGCATAATAATTATTGTCTTGTATTTCCACAAAGCTCCCAGGTCACATCATGACAATAGTCTGAGTCCTTTTTCATTACGATCATCTGTTCTTTTGGTCTTTTTGCTGAAGCAAATAAAAGCACAATTGGCTGTTTTCTCGAGCATCCTGCGAGCATCCGGATATATCCGCTACTGCGCTAGAGCATAATCTGGTCATTTTCTGAGCATAATCCGCTTAGGCAGCCTACTCAGCATAAAAAATAATTACGTCCAAGAGTTCTTTCAAGTGACGCATTGATTGGGTGTTGCAATGTGAAACTAACTTACCGTTTACAATTGGCAACATTGTGAACACAATCGCAACAGTAGTCACTGTGGCTACGACGGCATTCATCTCTGTGAAAGTTTTTTTTTCCTGCTTTCCCCGGCGTTCCGTGACCTGTCTCGAAAGGAACCAAAGTCAATGGACGGCTGAGTGGCAATGACGAGAGGCCAGTCGGCAGTCTCGACGGAAAACAAGGCTAGGCGGATAGCTACAAAGCGGCGTACCGATGGCCACCAAATGTTTTCTTGGTGGGAAAACTGGGCAAGATGTTACCAGTGGACGAGGACTTCGACGCTGCGACAAACATTCATAATTATTACTTCAGTATGAACAAACAACAGCCAATGTTGCAACACAGCGAAAGTAGACAGAAACGACTCGAATTCTGCAGTGCATCATACAGTCGATCTACCCTTCTGAGTACTGTTGCTAGTGACCAAGTGACTTTGAGTGAGTTGGTGATTCGGCGCGCCACTTCTTTCTCGCTGCAAGACTCCCTGCCAAGAGTAGACATGGTTAGCACTTTACCGTTCACGCTGACTCCGACCGTCAGTGTGTACCCTTTTTTGTGTGTACCCTTTTTTGTGTGTTTTCAATAACAAGACATGCAGGGCCGGGGCGTCGGAAGGTATTTTATGCATGGTTCACACTTGGCCGATTTTCCGGCAGATGCTCCCACACCGACTCCGACAAGAAATCGACCGACTGTGTCGGATGAGTCGGACTAGCTCTGTTCACACACAACGGTGGTCAATTTTGCTTGTACTATAGTTGTAGGCTTGTCTGTTACACACGTAGACTCTACACGTAGTACACAGCAGCGCTAGCTAGACCGCAGTAGACGCTAGACAGCGGAAATGAGATAGTTCTTAGCAGGGAGTAGTAAAATACGTATCTAATATTGACTGAGTACGAGGTCAATATAGGAAATAAAAGCCGAGTAAAAGACCGAGGCGAAGCCGAGGTGTTTTACGAGGTTTTATTTCCTATACTGACCAAGTACGAAGTCAATATTAGATTTATCACGACAAACAGTCCGTATTTCAATTTCCAGAATGATAACCTCATGAATCCCGGTTTTATGATTGCGCAACCGTTGCACCACCACCTACTCATGCAGTGACAATGCTGCACTAGGCACCGTTCAACTGCGCAACCCCTAAGCAGTCAAATATAAGCAGTCAATATAGCCCTAAGGAGTGAAATATGCAGGAATATTTGACTGCTTAGGTATGGCAAAAATCCATGTGAGTCAATACTATACTAAGGGAGTGATAAAGTATTTTACTACTCCCTGGTTCTAGTAAGTATTGGTTAGTTAGTTTTTACACGAGCTACAAGGCCAAATGCGTGAAATGGCTAGCGTCTAGTAGGATCCAGTCACAGTAGATATCCTTAGCTAAAAAAAACGCTAACGTAAACGCAAACCTTTCCGTACTTCGGATCGTTCAAGCTGACATTTCCCTTAGCACAATGTACGTTATAGTTGAGACGAAGTAGTCGTGACAACCATGGCGGTATGAATTTTCGTGGAAACAGCTGCGGGAAATTCTAAATGTTGAACCAGGGATTAGTTTGCTGTCGTTCCGAAAGAATACCTTGGCGAGGTCTTTTACTCTGGAATAGCAAGAAAACGGCGAAAATGAGTTTTCGCTGTTCCCAGGTCCTTGGAAAACCTTTCCTAAACCCAGCACCAAAGACTGTAAGGGTTCTCCAGCTCCAGCACGTCTGGGAGAGGCCGATGAATTTCTTCCGCCGGAGGAGTGCCGTGGAACTGGTCCTTTGTTTCCCAGATGGGATAGGTCTACAGGGTGAAAGGCACGAAGCAGAGGACGCAGACATTGTCAACTGAAAGGCAAAACTCGCCAAAAAAGCTAAATGTCACAAGAGGAAACAATCTCGACTCTCATCTCGATCTGCACGTCGTGCTTTTTATCTCCCGCCAGTTACAAAACAATGCGAGTTTTGCATTTTTTTTGCAGAATTACCATAACGAACGTCGGCCCGTTATTTTGAGCTCTGTAACGTTTTTCCGTTACCTGATAACGTCTTTTGTCACGGCTGGGAGTGAGTACCGTAAAAGTTAGCGTTATCGTACTTTTGCTAGGTTGTAGTGCAGCCAGTTCACGGTCTGCACCGACGTTCTCCTCTGTCATGGTGAAAAGCCTACAATGATTGCAAGATTGGCCCGATGCCCGCTCCATCACGTGCAAGTACTAAAAATCGGCCGGCTTTCCGGCTAAATATCGACAAGTTAAAGCGGTCTAACTACAATTCGAAGCAGCACACTACTCAACTTGTTTTGTAGTCAACTAGTCCATCACAATGTCATGCATGAGGAGTACTGTAGGAGTTTGGCTTTCGGCTTGTACAATTCGTTTTCGCAAAGCTTCCCCCTTCTTTACTTATCTTTGATTATGACCCACCCAAGTTGGGTGGTGTGATGCTTTGCTGCTTCGAACTGTAGTTAGACCGCTTTGTCAAATCGCCTACTGGTCTCGTCATCGTCCAGTAACAATCGACATTCTTTGTTCCGTTGGGACTGTAGCTTGTGCTCGTTTTCGTTGCGCTTGCCTTCCCCTCTTTGGTCTTTCCATAACCTTGAACCTTCCAAGTTGGAAGGCTGTCGGTTAGCGCTACGGAGATGTGGTGAAGCTAGGTGTCAGGACGTCGAATGTCTCAGTACTCTGTCAGTTTTGTGTCTAGTTGCGCTTTCTGACTGTATAATAGTATCTACAGTCAACTTCGCTAATAACGACTGCGGATATAACGACAATTCGCGAATAACGACAAAATGTCCATGCCCAGAGCAAAGTCACATCCAACTGTAATACTGTAATGGGACTTCGGGTATAACGACACTTCGTGAATAAGGACACCTTTTTCGCGCCCCACCGAGTGTCGTTATAAGCGAAGTTGACTGTAGTTACAGTGGTGGAGAGTCACAAAATCTGTGTTCTACGTTGGCAATGTCAACATGGAGTGTAGCGCTAACGCAATCACTGACTGCCAGTGACTGGTGCAGATACTCGCCATACCACACCATAGAGCTGCAGCCCTCGACATCAATGTTGTATGCAATTCACAAGTCCTACCAGTAGTCACATCTGCCAAATACCTTGGCCTGCATTTTGACTCGGACATGAGTTGGACCACAATGGTGGACCATGTTGCTCGTCGTGTTGCCGGCAAAATTGCTGTCCTGCTGCGACATGCTTCCTCGCTGCCGTATCCATGCCGACTCACCTACTTCAGATCTATCGTTTTGCCTGAATTTTTGTATGCTTCTATTAGTTACTACCCGTATTTGACAGTTGCCCAGGAACAACGGCTACATAGGCTGTTCAAACGTGCCGCTCGGGCAGTCTGCAAGTCGCCACCGTGGACCAGTACTGCTCCCCTGCTAAATCGAATGCATGTATGTGATCTACAGGTTTCTGTGCACTTGAATATGTTGTGTTTCATCTGGCGATGTTTGCATGATGCATGTAGCACCCTGTTTGAGTCCTTTTTTGCTGTCGTGCCCTCAACTCGCACTCGGGGAGGCCAAAGCAACTTGCTTGTGGTCCCACCTGCTAGCACTGCTCGTTCTGCTAAGCGCCTAACGCACGCTGGAGCCATTATGTGGAATAGATTGCCACCAGCAGCAAAATGTTCAAATAGGTATTTGGATTTTAAATCTCAAGCCTTGCAGTATATATTATCAGCGACATAGGTTTTCCAATGCTTACTGGATTGATATCTGTTCGTTGCAACCAACCTTCCGTTATTTTTTCCTTTCTCTTTTTCTCTTGTATTTACTTTTTTTTTCTCCACAATATCCTTTAACATGTCATTCACAGTGGGTCCAATGTTATTAGGCATTTTGCCTGTTTTGATTTCCACTATAAATAAAGTATACAACAACAAAGGACCGTGAGGTTGAGGTGCTCAATTGCAGTATCAGCGAATCCCGGACCTTTGGTACAGCATATGCACGACTGACTGTCCCAGCGACGGATGAAGGCAAAATACTCAGTACAGGATTTTGGCCGGAAACAATTAGCCACACCGTCCGTAAGTGGCGAAGTTTTGCCGACGGTACCAACGTGACTGAACGTGGTGGTGATAGTCCCTCGTCATAATCATGTTGTCTATGTCTTCCCTCACCTTGCATGCTACCCCATTCTACCCCAGATCAGAATCCGACCTAACGCTGATAACCATGAATTGTCGGTCTCTCGTCAATAAATTAGCTGAACTTTCGATTGTTCTGGAGAGCACTAAGCCGAGTACTGTTCGGCTCACGGAGACCTGGCTGTGCCCATCTATTTCCGTGCATGTACCGGGCTATGCATGTTTCAGAAGAGACAGACCAGCACACGAGAACAGAAATGCACACTCTTTCACTAGAGGATACGGAACTAGCTTTCGCACAACGCTCATCAGGAATAGCCCTTTCCCAAAGATGCCATAATTTTTCGCAACTTATGCTTTTCACAACCGTGCCAAAACAAGTGCAAGTTGCTGAAATCGCATCCATATCTTCAGAAAAAGCCCAAAAGTTGCTAATATCGCAACTTAAAATTGGAGAGTTCTTGTGCAAAAATCACCAAAAAAGAGCAGAAATAGCAGAAGTGCAGCGACAGCAAACTCGTACACCCCTTCCCTGTTCCTGCTGTGAGCCACCACTTTACACAGTGCTAATAGCCTGTTGCACATACACTGTACATGTATCCTACATCATTCCAGTGCACGGAAAAGGGAATGCACATTATCGTAACTACCGTTGATCAACTGTTTCTCTGAAATGAGTCTGAAGGCAGGCGAGAAATTGATTGATTGATTGATTGATTTTTATTTCACGGATCCTCCAGAGGCAAATAGATGCCTATCGAAGGGAGTCTCCTAAGTAAGTATAGAAAATGAGAAAGTATGTTCGTAAGGGAGAAGAGGTAGAAGATACATTAGAATATAGAGTACAGAAGAAGTAAATTCAGTACTTCGGGTAGTACATTGCATGCTAATCATAATGAGAATTAGAAAAGCAGCATTGCGGACTACTATAACTGACATATACACAAACTATTGAAACTATCATAGCTGTGGTTAGCGTAGACACAAAAGTCAGGAATACCGAAATGAGCGAGCATGCAATTTGTCCGACATATACATGTACATGTACATGTAGTTCGTGACTTGACCTTTTGACCCCAAGCCATGGGGCCAAGGTTGCGGAATAGTTGCGAAATAGTTCGCAAAAATGAAGAATATATTAGATGCAGACATGGCCAGACAACAACGAGTTCATGGAATTTTTAAGGATTTTTATGT